TCCACGATCTATTCAGTATCAGTTCTCACAACAGTTCTTTTGAAATAGTTTGAGTTGTTTAGCAGCTCTTTTGAGTATAAAACTGTTGGAGCTGATCAACAGCTCACATGAGTAGGAGCTGGAGCTGATCAACAGCTCACATGAGTAGGAGCTGGAGCTGATCAACAGCTCACATGGGTACGAACTGGAGATGGTCACCAGCTCTTTACTACATTTACTCACAGTTCACGAGCTGTCACACCCCTAGGCGTGACCGAAAATCTTAGTTACCCATCAGCGGGGGCGACGGCAGCGGCATGGTGCACATGTCTAGTCATACTTTCAAGTTCTAGCATCGTTTCATCTTGACCAAACACTTGACAAACAAAATCGACCATAATACTTTACTTATAAGACAAATCGAGAAATCAGTTAAACTGGAATCATAATAAAAGTCAGATGTGACACTCACCAATCTTGCTTATCGGCTAAATGCAATAATAACAAGAGGATAAAAACAAACGTTAGTACTTTGAGCTATTTCTGTAGAAGTCATGCAGGAGGGAATGAACGACGATACGTTATTTTGAGTCCTGAATGCTTGTTGTTATAGTCTGTAGACTGCAGTCATAGTAGGCGTCGAACGCCCTTCAGGCATCTGACCGTCAGTCATTCATCATATCGACGATTACTGTGCGTCAAGTTTCTAACATTCGTGTTTTTTATACATAAAAGTCGCAAATTTCAAATAAATAATAAAATGATCAACTTCAAGTTGCTGCATTAGTCATTAGTTTTACCCTCAGAGTTATTCCCATGAATTAAAATAATGTTTCTTTATATAATTTAATGTTCCCATGTGGTGGTGAACATTTAATACAAACGGAAATAAAAAATTATGTTTATTGAAAAAAATTAAAATACAAAAATTAAAATTAAAATTAAAAACAATTAAAAATTAATCATCTGTACAGTATTAGGCCTGCACATGGAAAGACAGATGTTGTTTTTCTACATACAGAAAATCGGTTTTATGGAATGCGTACAGAACAGTGCTCTCTTTCGTTCCATACGAGGTCCTGTGTTATGATAGCATTTTATCGTATCATTACGATTATTTCCTCAATCTAATCTAAGATTTAAAATCATTTATTAACGCTAAACTAACGCCTTTTTCATCAACATGAGAAGTAATGACACATTTAGTGAAGGTTCATCGAGAATATGATTCAAAAACATTCTGATACCGTTTGTGAATTCAAGTGCACCGCTGGAGTGTAAAATTACGTACAGAATTGTGTTTAATTATCCACTGATTTTTTCTATCCAAATACATTTGATGTTGGAATGTGCCTATGAATGTAATGTAATCAAATTTAAAGTCAGGTATAGTACAATTGAATCTCATTAATGATGGCAATGATGTTAAAAGTAAATTTGCCAAATATTCACCAGAAATAATGGGCTGATATGCATTTAAATAAATTAAAGATACAAAGGTTAATTGTGGAATATGTTGAATGAAATATTCAAAATAGTCAAATCGAACAACAGTTAATTTTAACTGATTTAAATAGGGTATTAAATCAGCTAAGTCCTTTTTTCCGGATATTGTCACAGAACTAGAACAATAACAGAACAGACATTGAATCGACGGTCTTTTCACATAATACTATTCAAACATTACATAGTTCGAGTTATTTGTTCCGAGAAAGAGTAGCCTACCCAAGGTGTTTTCGTCCTCGGGCAAGCCTTTCTGCTGCAGCAAAAATGAGGATTGAACAAATTAGACAAAACATTTTTTTTTCTGTAAGAACCATCTTTTCTGTGAGTATCATTTCTCGTCCTTCTTCTCCAAAACATAATAAAATATGTCTATTTCTCACAAATGTGCGTGCCATGGAGAGAACATTGTAATCAATCGGATTAGCTTTAATCATACGAAAAAAGTTTATCATCTTGCCTTACATATTTCAGCTTTTTGCAAAGATTTTTGAGGAAAATTTCAGATTTTAGTCGAAAAACAACGCTTTGGAATAAAAACAACTTGGAAGAGAAAAATTTGATTTTCATTTTACTTTCAAATTACAAGGATATTTTGTTGAATCAGATACTATACATCTGTTTTTTAAATAAACTCGATGAACAAAGAGACATACACGCAAAGTAGAATGCTCGTGTAAATGTTTACTGCCAAGAAAAAATAGTCTTGTTTTATTACAAAATTTAGTACAAATTTTCCTAGAGAAATTTTCTGAGAACTGAATCGGATAATGACTAACATGGGAAAATGCGTATCGAGCGAAATTTGTACAAAACAGGTCGAGTATTTGACCATTTACAATGTTACTGAGAAGTACATTGAACTTACCCAATAATGCTTGCTTGTAAATATCTCATTTTTGGTAAATATTGTAGTAAATATAATAATTGATCAAAATCGCATTTATCAATAGTCAAATGTTCTAATTGATTACATATGCATATCTTTCCTAAACATCCAAAATCAATTGGATCAGATCTAAATATTAACTGACATGATTTTAACTTTGGCAATTGATTTGAGAAAATTATTTTATAAAGATCTATTTCTATAACGCTCTGGCATTCGATAATTAACAAATGAGATAATTGTAGACGAATTTTTAATAATTGTTGAAAAAATATGTTCGTTTCATTTGGTTCAAAAGTTGTTAGTTTAATTAATGACATAGATGTCAAATATGGAAATTTGTCAAAATCAAATTGTGTAAAAAATAATTCTAATGTTGAATTGCTTAATTTTATCGAATGTAGACGAGTTGATATTTGATCCATGACATATTCGCACAAAAGATCATATTCACATACAGGTACATTGTCAAAATCTAAATGAAATTTAAGATAACTATCGTTCAATATATAATTGATGCGTATATTTAAATTGAAAAATGCTCGATATAAATCGATCGGTTTCAAATAGGAGAATACATTCAATAATAATTCATCTGGTAGACTTTCGAATTTAGACGACAATATCATTATGGAGAACGTATCTAGAAAAACAACAATATCAACATCTTTAATCTGTTGAAAGAAAACAGAATATTTTGCTCTGCTCATATTTATACAGAAAACAAAATTGCCATCATTTTAATTCTTCCATTGAAAGTTGAATGTTAAAGACATACTATTATTTTTTGAGGTTTTTGATCATTCGAACCGTATGATTTTTTTAGTACCATTAGATCTAAATTAAATGAAAAAGTTCTTCTAGAAATATCCTCTTACAAATCTGTCATTATGAATTTATAAAGGTAATTCATGGACGAGGATTTTTCTGGGCGCGGAAATTAGGCGTTTTGGGCACAGTGTGTCACTTTTGCCCAAAAAAATCTTTTGACTGTTTTGGGCACGGTTATTTATTTGAGAACTGTAATTAGCCGAAATGGACACGGTTTGCCAATTTCCGTGCCCAAAAAAACCGTTCGTCTTATTTTGGCACGGTTTTCCTTTCTGAAACTCGGGAATGCTGCACTCCATTCGCTTGTAAGCTGTGTGCCACAACGTCACACCAGAAACTGTATTACTAATTTCTTTAGATCTTGTAATCGTGAGGGATCTGACACTGTGTAATAGCCAAAATGCATGATGAGTCCAATGCACGTTTGCAGACGTACTGATTCAAGTTTTGTTCGCATGAACATATCATGGGCATTGAGACGAGTCTGGCAGCGTACATCCAAGTGGAAAAAGCATCAAAACTCTGCCACGGCAACGTTTCCAGTTGTTGTAGTCAGAGATGAGGAGGGAACCACATGTGTATGGCCATACCAGTACAACAACCGACTTTTGTCCAAATTTTGAATCTATTTATGAGCATCTTTCTCGTGAGAATGGTTGACAGTGGGAAAGGTTAGCAAACCGCGTTTGGCTGATGCTTGTGACCATTCGACAAGCATTTGCTCAATCGCTGCCAGAAACGCAGACAGGATCAGTTTGTTTCTGAATATATAGTTCTGTTTTATCTTCCCGTTTAGGGATTCAAGACCGTTGTTCGTCGATGGCACGAACGGGGCAGCTCCTTCGTACCATAAAGGCAGTTCTTTCACCCAGTGTGTCTCAAAATAATTTGCGAACGCGACTATTTCAGATTGCTGTCTCCAGTTTGTTAACAATAGTGAAATAGCTTTCCAAAAGATAGCTGGATACTAACAATGTCACGTTCGACGGCTGGCCACCGTGCAACTGGCACCATTTTTCGATGATCTCGGCACTTTTTGATTACATGAAACCAGCACATTAATCGTCGTGCGTTCGGAAATTCCGTTTTTGCAGCACAACTGATCCCTTTCCCACCGTCGCCCATCAGATATTTAACATCGTCTGCTGAACCTGTTGTTCAGCACTGTTTGTTTTAATGTTTGAAACAATCGAGCATATGAACTAGCAGCTTCGTCTGTTGAGATCAGAGCGATGCCATAGGGGTGAAAATGGCGATCCGCATCACTACAGCCAAACACCAGCAAAGGTAGTTCTTGCCAGGTCAATTTGAATGTTGCGTCAACTTGAAGTAGATATGACAGAGCACCAACAGAGATCAGCTGACGAGTAGTGAAGAACACAAACAGATCCTCGAAGGAATTGATTTCGAACTGTGGTAGATAAACATCGTGCGGCGACTGTAAACTGGGAGTAGTAGAATGCAGTTGACACCACTGACAAAAATCATGGACAGAGTAGACATTAGCCCGTGTTACTAAACGTTGATATTTCAGTAGACTTGTCACCTTGGACGACGAGACTTCTCCATTGTACTCATTGGCAACAGCAAGTTGGGTCTGAGTTTGGCTCAATTTAGCAGCAGCCGATTTCAAGACAATTTCACGTACAGGCGAAGGAGCACGTGTAGTTTGAGCACGAATAGAATGATTATGAGTGTTCGATGAGAACACAGATATTTCGTTACCAGAATTTAACACCGCACGTATCTGGTAGTCACACTCAGGGAATTTTCAACGTAACGAACATCGATGTGTAATTTTTGTACCTGCGTTTACTTTCTCGGTACGGAACTGTGAGACATTGTTTTGTTTAATATATATATGAAACTCGTCCTTAGACGAAAAGTCGACAGAGGCCCATATTCTACGTGCCATGTTTTTTTCTTGTTTGCCATGAGAACGAGACACTTTAGCTTAGGAAAAAGCAACTGTGTATAGTATGGATTAATGGATTATGCAACATTCGCGGACGTTCCGCCAATAATTTTATCGACAACAGCCTTTTTACTATATCACTGCAAGAATATAGAAGACAGAAAGAGGAATTGCCGGAAATTAGAGATCCGTACCATTGACGTTGTGGTACACAGCTCACAAGCGAATGGAGTGTAGTATTCCCGAGTTTCAGAAAGGAAAACCGTGCCAAAATAAGACGAACGGTTTTTTTGGGCACGGAAATTGGCAAACCGTGTCCATTTCGGCTAATTACAGTTCTCAAATAAATAACCGTGCCCAAAACAGTCAAAAGATTTTTTTGGGCATGGAAAGTGACACATCGTGCCAAAACGGCTAATTTCTGTGCCTAAAACAGAATTTGTCCGCAATTCATTCGCAGCTTTTTACCAGAATAAAAGGCTGAAACAACAGGAAGACAACCAAAATATCAGACCTAGTTTCTGATCAAAAGTTTCGTCTACTATTTTCAGGCCTCAAAAATGCAAACATTGGGTGTGCCAACAGTAACTTGTTCTAGACATTAATTTTGTTGTGGGAAAAGAGTTATTATCGAAAACTAATTTGTGTTGTTTTTTTCTTTTTATGTCTGCTAAAATTTCAGTTTACTTAGTCAGGTCGTCCTGGATGTTCTCATTTTTTTCTCTCAAACGGCTACAGATATAGATTAATGAATCGTGATTTTCAATATTCTCAACAAGTTATTGGATATAAAAGTAGTTGTATGCTTTTCATCTCGAAGAAAACTTGAATAATTTATTGGATTCATAGAGGATAACCAAGTTGGTATAGGAACATATCAAAATAAAATGTGGAAAACTTAGTCGATTTGACTTGAGGAAAAGAGAGCAGTGTTTTTATACCCAAATGACAACGTATGCTTCATTAATTTCAACAAATCTGTTCCAACTTCAAATACTTTTTTAATCATATTGTCAATTTATGTCGATGACCATTGGATGGTTGAACATACAGGAATTGAATTTGGTGCATACTGTGTTCTTAAAATGTTTTAATAAATTTAGAGATTCAATGAGATTATCATTCGATGTTCATCTGATAGTAAAACATTTTAAATTTTGAATTTGTAATTAAGAAAATAGTTCAATATCATTCTATTCAATATTGGGGTCTGAGCTGTGCAATGACTGACACTGATTCTGCTCGTCGGAAAAGAGTTCTTCCAGTCAAGAGTTGAGTGAATCGAAGATAAACGTTACTTGTTGTTTTTCTATTTAAGTTTAAATTGAGTCTTGTTTGGGTGGCGCCGACTGCCTCCTCTGTACGACCCGCTCAACAGAATGAAAAGATCCCAATAAAATAAAACAATTTAATTATTTTGCGATCAATAGAACAGCAGAAAAAACCCTTGACTTTTACAATCAAATGGTTAATGATGACGGCGAGATTTCTCACAAGAAAACTGATTATCCAATGAGACAAGGGCTAACCAGCGAACTACTCTCAATCTCCGATTAGTACTGGCTTATAAAGCACTAGTACATTAATGGTACAAATTGGATATTAAAAATAATATATCATTTATGGGCCGATCATCTTTAGTGGTTAGAACGTTGGACCCCGTTAAGGAAAACATCAAAAAGGCACGAGAATTAGTTTTAAACAAGATTGAGTCTACTACAGGGTTACGACTCGATCAAATCGATTCATCATGAAATTCGGGTACCAGCACGACAGGTGGCCAAGGGCGAAAGTTTTTGTATATGAAATTCGAAATTCAATCATCGCTCGAGTATTCTGTGACAGTTCATAGCTTGATCTTTCATTCTGCCGAACTGATCTATAGAAACAATTGCACGGGCCTCGGTGAGCTTAGCGGGGAGGCACTGGAGAGTACAAATAAAGACGTCAGGACTTTCCGCAAGTTCCTTCCACCTAAGTGTGGATACCTGGAAAACTTAAGTGATGTGTTTAATCGATTATTTATACGAAAATAATCTATAAATCACATATCAAAAAGTTACATTAATTCGTTCAGCAGTTCGTCGAAAATTGTGTTGAGCACTTGATAGACTCGCTTTAACATCAGGGCCGATCTATCACACCACAATTTATGATGGCGCTTCGAGTGGATCTTTGCAGCTCACAACATCAACGAAAGCACAGTTATAACTCACTATATGTAGAACTGAAATTGGAAAAATCTACCACCAACCAAAGGTCACTACCAACCTTATATCAAAACAGAACACAAAAAACATACCAAAAAAATTACTACTGATAACATCGAGTCGATTGCATAACTTCAGTCGTTGTACAGAATATAGATACAGAATAGTGGATTTAGTTTTGCAGTTTCTGCAAAGCTAAGTTCATGATCCGATCTGTATTCGTACAAAAACTGATTTTGTGTTTCGACAGTTTAGTTTAGAATACTGTAATGGAATTTTCCCGCTTGTATTCTGACAAAATAAAGCTTATACCAACCAAAGATCAAACAACACATCTCGTCCGAAGTCTACTGACTTGGCTTCTAACAACAGATAAGCCAAGGGGAAGTGGAGATGGGCACTAGCAGAACGGACACCAATTTCTTTTGGATTATAGAAATAAAAAGAGCACAGCCACAAACCTATAAACGTGTGTCATTATTTTGGAATAACGAAGTCAAGTTTTTTGCAGATCTGGTTTTCTAGAAAAGTGGTTTTAGAACTTCGTAAAAACCTTTTTGAGTATGCGAATAAAATCTCCATGCACAAAAACCTACAAACAATATTTTCGACGAAATTCTAGGTGTTTTTTAGTGTAATCAGGTTTGTGAAGCCCTAAGTTTTCTAAAAAACCCACATGAAAGTAGTTTTGAATTTTCTAAAGTGGTTCGTTGGAAAGAGCACGTTCGAAAACCTATAAAAAACATGTTTCTAGGCTTTCGTATAGCTTTTGGACCAAATGTCTACGTGCCGATTGAAAATTGCCCACTGTGTGGGATGTAGAGGTGATCAATACGTCGGTGGTTGCTTAGGTTGGATTCCACTCAACGCAAGTGATCCATCAAATGAACCGAATTGAAAGGTTTTCATCCTCGACGCAGCCGCTCATGAACTTTATTGCTACGAGTTTTTGCAGTTAACCAAGACCGACGTTAGGCTAGTTGATGAAATCTTAGCGGCAGACGGTTGAATGATCGAACAAGGAGAAGGGGAACACAACTTCTAATAATCGAAAAAGATTCCCCTCGACACTTTCACTGGATCTCTTCTCTTGAATCGACAATCATTTTCACTTTATCCAAAGATCGTTGTTCATCATCGCTGGGCATTCCGATCACTACAGAGTGTCGGTCTCATCATGAATACATGCAACTTTCAATCTTCAAGATTTTGGCTGTCTTCAGACCTCTCAGGTCAACGGTTGCGACTTACTCGCGTCACACTAGCAATCGCTATTATCTCGCGCTTATAGGTCGCGTTGCCGCGGCCCGCTCGGTAAAATCGTATTTTTTTGAAAAAGTATCTTATGAGGCCCGCGAAGCTAATTAAAACTCGCGGCGGGACGAAATAGTATACTGTGTCCATAGGCACGTGTGTGATTGAAGACATGTGCTTTTGTTATTGGGGATCGGTCAAATAAGGATGAGTGAATAAATGACTGTGACTCCTCGTATGCCGACATATAGACTATTAGCTATCTTCTGTTCTCTTTCTTCTTTTCTATTCTTTTACTTTGAATCGAGCGACCATCTTCTTTCGTTCATCGTGTATAAATACACTTTCTTGTCGACGTTCTTGGAAGATTCTTATTTCTTTTCATTTCACACAAGTTTATTTTGATATAGTCACTGTGACTCACAAAGGAGCATAAAATGATCACAAATGCGCGCAAAGCGATAAAACGATCTTTTACTCACTCACACATAGTCACTTTTGCGTTCTGTTTTCTCTTGCTGATAGATTAATGTGAGTGAGTAAGATGATCATTTTATCACTCTGTACGCATTTGTGTAGTAAAATTTGGTGAATTGCTTCATAACTACATACAATAACTACATAATTGCCAAATAAGGCTTTTTCCGGATTTTGGAAATAGTCGGCCTTCTTTTCTCTGCTTGCCTCGTACACAAGGCTTCATTCCCGTACGCACATCCAGAGTATAAGTTTTATAGAATCTAGAATATATATCTATACAGCATATAGAACGAAGTGTACCAATCCGGGATATCATCTTGTAGAGAATTAATTATGATTTGTAAGAAAGTAAGTGTAGTAAGTAATACAAAAATTACTTTCTTACGAAAAAAACGTTACAAAACTTGTCTTACAAATCTTATGGCTTTTGCCGTAGTTTTTGCCGTAGTTTTAAGAACTACGGCAAAAGCCTCCAAACAACGAAGACTATTTATGACCTGTATCAAAGCGAAAAAAGCATTCACCTTTGAGTGTATTGCTATAACAAGGTATATTACGGATGGATTATATATCAGGGCTGTTATGCACACAAATTTTCCGTCCATTAGCGATGGCACGGGAGACAAACTGCGAGCGCGGTACGTTCTACTACGCGATCCGTGGGAAAGGGTTAAAGAATAGTAAATCGACTGCACAATTTTTCTATGTTAAGAATAGTTCGCTCTTAAATATATTCTACTTTACCTTCGAGATAAAAGTATTTCATATCTCAAGTTGAATGAAGAACAAACACCAAAGCGTGATCCATCAAAAAGAAAACTAAGTTCATCATAACGTCAATATACAATCGACAAAGGATAGTGTTGTCAGTGATAACGAAAGTGAAATACAAAGTGTTCAACAATCAAAACGAAGAACACCGTTAGCAGATCGTACTTGTGCTAAACGACGTCAAAAATACAGATTATTTGCCTTCAGTTTGATCATGATTCGCCGTAATTTCTTTGTTTTCTGTTGAAATTGTTGAATTCAAAGGAACTTTCTTTTATTTTACCATTATTACAAAATCCAGAAATGCCAAAAATTACTTCATTTGTGAATGTTGAAGAAACTCTAAGCAATTACAGCAATAATCCTGCTAATTTGTTAATGAGTGAAAGACCTGATAAATATACTTACATTCAATTAATTCTATTCAAAAATGTAAGTTATCCGATTTTAGGTAATGATAGTCGTAGCCATTGGATATACGATCGTATAGAGTCGTAGATTCTTCCTTAAACAACTATGGTCAAGAAGGAAAAAAATTTGAAGTTATTCTAAGTGTGAAAATATCCACCTATATTACACAAGAGTGTAAAACAAAACGATTATTCAAGAATTTCCACGATCTTGGTACAAGATGTCCAGAAATGACAAGATGAAGAAAATATGTTGTGAATTTTTTTCTCATTTGGATCAAAACGTACCCTAGTGGAACTTCTTGTAACCAAGATCTTGACTTCTGAAATTTCTTGAATTCTTATATTTTCTTACCAAGATTTTGAATCAAGATCTTACTGAAAAAATTCAAGAAGTCGAGATCTTGGTTACAAGAAGTTTCACTAGGGTACGTTTTGAATTAAGTGCGCAATTAAGTGTTTGAATTTCTATTCATACAAAATTGATTTTGTATTTTTCGATAGTTTTAGTTTAGAGTACTATATAGTATTCTAAAAATATTCCGTTATATAATGGAATATTTTTCCACTTGTATTAATTAAAAAAAACACCTTCAGCTCTCCGCGCGCGTGCTTTATAGATAACATAAGGGTGGAATTCTGTTGATAAAGAGGACAAAATATGTGTATATAAGTAAAAATCCAAGTCTCTACGTGTGGTCACAAGTGAAAATATCATTGCACGAGAGCTGAATGCTTTTTTTATTTAAGATATAGAGAAAAGAAGGATTTTTAAGTGAGCATGGTTCTTCACCATATGGCAATATTTTGCGAGAAAATCGAGTTTACGAGACGAATTTTGATTTGAAGATTCTCCGGTATTAGTACACTCACCAATCAAAGATTCAATGTATCAAGAATTTTTGTCAATAAGCAAATTAAATCCACCCACAACTGTTTGCTAACATCGACTTCGTATTTGCTTTCAATTGTGACGAATGCAGCCTTTACGAAATTCATAAAATATTCTTTAGGTTTCGCTTCAAATATAGAAGATTGCATTACAGAGTGAAAAAGACTAAAATAAACTTAACAAGACTAACATAACCAGTGAAGTAGATAACAAGTGAGAGCTTTTGCCTAAGAGATGGCACTTACAACTGATTCCATTCATCATATGTTTTGGATGTTTACATAGGGAGAAAAATCCGTGTTACGCCTAAAAATCGTGCAGTGATGCGTGAAATAATATTTCCACTTGTGACCATACGTGGAGACTTGAGTGTTTACTTATGTACACACGTTTTGTTCTCTTTATCAACAGAATTTTGCGGAAATATATCTCTGAAAATATCAAGAAATTTATTATTAAAATTTATATTCCATTTGGTTGAAACGGATGAATGGTGATCTAATATCTTTATCTTATAAACATTATCGAATTGATATAAGCTGTTTTTTGTCAGAATACAAGCGGAAAAATATTTCATTATAGTATTCTAAACTAAAACTATCGGAAAATACAAAATCAATTTTGTATGAATAGAGATTCGAACAAAAGCACTTAGCTTTGCAGTAAACATTCTCGATTTAGAAGTAATTGATAGATATAACGAATTGGTATCATTCTAAATTCAAATGTGACTATCTACAAAATAGATTATTGTTTATAAGCATAATGATCAGTTTATTAATCTAAGCTATTTGCTAAGTAAAAAAGATAAAGAGAGAAAGAACTATATTACCGTATCATCGCAGTTTAATCAAAATTTATAATGAGTTGATGTGAGATGCATGTTTTTAATGAGTTTTTCGAGATAAAAAATTTAACCTTATATGGTAATATCTCCATTCAAATCACATTTAGTTATAAAAATTATCTGTTTGGTCTCAACAAATAAAAAGTTAGAACATTCTATAACTTACACTGAAAGCAGATTTTGAGCGATAGAGTCATGCACGTTAAGGCCTATTAAATTTATAAAAACTTGTCAAAAACATGAACCTGCAGAACTCTATTA